GTTCTTTGTCTCTTTGGAGCCAACAGCTCTTGTTGCAAACCCACAGGCATTGCTTCTAGGGTCCCCATAGGGGACATGCTCAATTACAAGCCACCACACTCAAGTCGCAAGTATGGTTGGTTTATCTCCAGGTATTAGGAGCTTCTCCCCATCCCGGTGTAATTTGCCAGTCAGAGATCATTTTAAACACGAGCACTTTTGCCTACGTAACATAGTTGACATAATACTCTTCTTCGATGTCCACGGGAGCAGAGCTTGAATGTTAAGCAAAGTTCAAGTTCTTTTTCAGAAGCTGTGCCCTTTACACTCAGCTCTTAAACAGGAAGCCTGCAAAGGCGATGGGGCACATTTTGTGGGAACTTGAGTTTGGATTAAGTGACATCTAGTGACATGAAAAGACACTTAGTATTTTGGTGTAAAACTAGGTCCATAAGTAAATATTGCAACATACGAACAGATTTCGGTATTCATGTGTCTTAGAACCCTGGAGAAGCTTAAACGCAGGAACACATGTGTAACCCTCTTCAACGTGACATGAACCTTCTGGAACAGAAAGGATTGTGCCTTTTCAGTCCATGGAAGGGATGGGCCTTTCCTTCCCTTCACTCCTGACTCCCCAGATATGTTTATATGATAAACATACACTATCAAAGACCTAATGCTTAAAATGGTGACCCTTTGTTGTTTTTTTAAAAAATATATTTTATTGATTTTTTTTACAGTGAGGAAGGGAGAGGGATAGAGTTAGAAACATCGATGAGAGAGAAACATTGATTCAGCTGCCTCCTGCACACTCCCCACTGGGGATGTGCCCGCAACCAAGGTACATGCCCTTGACCGAATTGATCCTGGGACCCTTGAGTCATCAGGCCGACACTCTATCCACTGAGCCAAACCCGTTAGGGCCACCCTTTGTTTTTTGGGCGTTGAAGCAGCATGTGTTCCAAACGCGTGCGGCAGAAGGCAGTGGGTAGAGAACGTTCTTTCTGTATTGAATGCAAACCCCCTGGGATTGTGAAAGGTGGTGGCAGCTTGCATCCCACTTGCTGAAGCAATGACTGACGTTTCCTCGACCTTCTCAGAGCCATCCCAGACTCCAGCCCCTAGGACCCGGCCTGCACGACGAGGCTGTGGCTTAGTAGGAAGAGCCTGGTGCCTCCCGGGAGGAGCCAGCCTCCTGCCTCCACTGCTCTCAGGCTCCTGCCCTCCTGCCTCCCGCCTCCCTCTGGCCTGACTTCTGTCTGCTTCCCCTGGTGACAGGTTGTTGATGTATGACTGGTCTGGGAGAGCTGATTTCCTTCTGCAGGCGACAGGCTCATGCCCCACTCTCTGCTCACTCTCATACACATCATGCAAACCGTAATGACCCACACACGGCTCTGGGAGCCCCCAAGGGCACAGACCCGCAGCCCAGCATGTTTGAGTCGGGTTCCTGATCCCTCACAGAGAGAGAGGCTGGGAGCTGCCTCCTCTGCAGCTATGTATCCAGCACAGAACAAAAATCCCCACGTCCATTGCCAATGTGTTTATTTTTTATGGTCTTAAAATATGTTTTTGTGGATTTCAGAGCAAGGGAGATGGAAAGAGAGCTAAAAACATCAATGATAAGAATCACCCATCGGCTGCCTCCTGCACAGTCCCTATTGGGCATCGAACCCTGACCGGGAATTGAACCCTGACCTCCAGGTGCATGGGTTGGTGCTAACCACTGAACAGCACCAACCTGGCGCCAATGTGTTTAAACCAACCATGCTCAGATCTCCTTGCAATGAGAACTCGCAGTGTGCAGCCTAGGTAAGGACGCTTTTCATGTGGGGTCGACAAGAGAAGCATACCATCTTGAATCCAAGAAAATAAATTTATTAAACTTTGAAGGAAAAAAATCCACAGACATAAAGAAAGTTAAATATAAACTGCAGGACACAACTAGTCATACTAGTGAATAATGGCTTGTGTGGCCAGCAAAGTACCAAAACGACATTCTGAGACTGATTGAGGTATTTAGCTATTTTTGGCGATAGAAATGTTGTCAGCCTATTGTGAAATAGTAAGATAGTTTTCCCAAACACACAGTTTTAAGTTGAATTAGGTTCTACGTCCATGAAATTTATATGAAACTAAATTATGTAGCTCTTATTGAAAACCATAGCAGCAAGGTAGCAGAAAATCTATGAAACATCTATTACAAAATAACATGTTGAACTTTAAACACCCAATTCCAGCTTTTCACTGTCCTTGCAAGAAAGAGGGAATTTAAAATTACCAACCATTAGGCTATTTCCTAAAAAGGTCTGAGCTAAATGGCAAATACTATTGAAGTTAAAGCTAACTTTAAAGTTTCATTCACCTTTTAAAAAAATACTTAGTGTGAGAAGTATTCTTCATTGAGATAAGAGTCTTCTCTTTCTATACACTTTTTGGGGAGCCATCCCAGTGGTCCTAAGAATGATGGTTAGGCTACTAAGGGATCGAACAATAATCATAAATTACTCAGGCCCCTTGTTTTTCTTCAGACCCCCTGCTTAGAGGCCAATCATTGCACTCAGAGGGGATATAAAAATGATGAAACTTCTTTTACCATTTTAATAAATCCTATATGAGGTTTGGTGAGGAAGGCAGTTTCTGCAATTGGCTCAAATAAACTGGGAGTTATCTGTGGCGGTTTAAAATCTTGTTTCTTGTTCACATAAATAATGAGTATGTGTCTGGCTACTGTCTGTGAAACAAACACCTATTTCTCACACTTCTTACTCCATTATGCGGTGAGTTTCATTTCGACCTGCTTCGACTTACAAAGTGCTTCCTGTACCTATTCCCTTCTCAGGTAACTGGGGAAGAAAACCCAGCTGTGTCTGAGGGCAGCCCGCTGCCCAGATTCTAGCGTTTTCTTCTTATTCCTCCTCAGTGTGAACCAGCTATAAGTCCTACTTCTAGTACGGAGTGCTCTGACACGAACCGAAATTTGGGTCAGGAAGGGGTTTCTGTTTGTTTTTTTGGTTCACGAAAAGTTGGCCTGTGCAAACATTTTCAAGTTTTCTAAATGAACAAATATTTGTTTAAAAATTCAGCTAAGACCAGCATGTTCCAATGATGTGGGTAACTACAATCATTGTAGACGTGTGTAAGGAGCTTGGGGAGGTATCAAAAGGGCCTTGTAAAAAACTGACTTGTTTTCATTAGGTGCATGGGACCAAAGCACTCGGTCAGCTTCAGACTGTCGTTGCTACAGTCTTCAGATGGTCCCCGTGAACTTCAGGACACAGTGGGCAGTGTAGTAAAAAACAGCCATGCTTGAAGTGTAAATTATTAAAAATATCTTTATCAGTTTTATGTCAAAATAAAATTTTCCATATCCAAACTATTTTTTTGTTCTCTTACGTATAATTTTAGCTCCCAATCACGTAAAAAAGTAGCCTGTGCTTTAATTCGCATTCAAGTTTCCCGAACTGCAAAGGCCACCTGATTTTTCGCTTTTTCCAAAAAAAAGCATGATTTACGATGGATTAACGACACAGCCATTCAAAGCTCAGAGCTCAGCATCACAAAATGAACACCCACAATAACAAGACGATCACTGTCACAAAACAGTCTTGGAGACGATTCTTGAAAGTATTTACAATTCACAAGGGGGAATATCTAGCTGATCAAGTGTTTTTTTTTCTTCTTCTTCTTTTAATATCATGTGTCAACATTTCAGGAAAAGGCATTTAGAATCCACACTCCCCGCCCACCCTCCCTCCCACTGTCCCAGAAGGTTTAAACATGGTTTTGGTTTAAGCATTCATGCCCCAGCCTTCTCTTGGCCATTAAATACTTAGCTCAGGGGACATCAGATAGGCTACGGCATGATGTTGTTCAGCTGGTCTGTGCTCACATAGCCACACGACGAGAGGAACTCCTTGTCGGGCCGGGGCAAGGCAGTGGCGTTGAGGACCAGGCCCTGGGGAGACTGGACTATATGGATGGAGGTATAGTCAGGGACGGGCTTTGCGGAGCCTGGGGCCGGGCCCGCTGCCCCAGCCCCCCGGGCAGTAGTGGTAAGGCTTTCCGTGGTGATGTAAATGTCTTCCTGGTTAAAGCTCGGCTCTCCACGTGCTGCCACCTCCACGTGAGGGGCCACAGGGATGCACTTTTTGGCGTCTGCCTCGCAGAAGTAGGCGCTGTCCGTGATGAAGTTTGCTTGGCAGAGCGAGGCCACCTCGGGGTGCGCGTCGCACTGGGGTATCCCTGCCTTATTCCTCTGGCCCGGGGAGAGGACCACACTCCCTGCGGGTGTGATGTCGCTCACCTGGGCGTAAAAGTCAATGTTTGCCAGTGGACTCGGACTGTGGAGCGGAGCAGGGGCGGCGTGGTGAGCTGGCTCGGTCTCACCGAGGGGAAGTGGTCTGGCTTTGCCTTCCTCTGCCAGGACCACACCAGGCTCCCCAGCCGCTGGGGGAGCATCCCTACCAGGCGGGTGGTTTTGATTCTTCACGTCAAGGCACAAGAGATCTGCTTCCCCTTTTAACCTCTGTGGCTGAGCGACCCCTGAGGTACCGTCACCCCCGTCACTGGCATGGAAGTCAGCCTCTAGGATGTCAGGGTCGTAACAGCTGGTTCGGCCAGAGTCATCATCCTTCGCCCCCAGGATGTTCAGTAATTTCTGATGGTCATGGCTGAGGAGCCTGTCTGTGTCCGACCCTTCAGTCTTTTCATCGGGGTCGTCAATATCGAGCTCAATGAATTCGACCCAAGAGTCATCATTGTAGAATTCAGGCTTGTAGTTGTCATGAATGGCCAAGATGGTGTTCACCTCGTCTAATTTTCCTTCCTAGGAAACAGAAAGAAAAGGAGGATCTATGAAAAGAAACTCAGTGCTTAAGTGAGTTAACAAATAACATTAAGAGAATAATTATGGTTGTAACAAAGGCATTAGTAACTGAACCACATAATAAAAATACGTATTAGTGAAGAGCTTTTATTTTTTTTTTTTATTATTTTTTTTTTTGTGTGTGTGTTTGTTGTTTTTGTTATTATTGTTCTTGTTTTGTTTTTGGCTACAGTATAATTATTTCCACAAATTTAACACAAATAACATAAAATATATACATATACTCATATATCTATACATATAAAATTCATGCTAATTGTCAGCTGTAGTAAGAACACATTCACCTGTAACAAATTCCATTAAGTTTTGAATGTTTATATCATTAACACATTATTAACGAAAGACAGGAATTTCACTATTTAATATTTCTGGAACTAGGAAACCCCAGTAAATCAGTGAATGTGAAAATGAAACAAAGCAAAACCAAGTTATTTTGGTTGTTTCAATTGGAAGCCCAAACCAGCGAGCCTCCTTTAGACACTGCCACACCAATAAAAGCTTCTGTGAAACTGTTGAAGCTCGTATTAGTGAAGAGCTTTTAAATATACAAGACATAATTTTAGAAGATGTAATATTAAATTTTTTTTTCTTCAGAAGAGGTACAAAAAATGGAATGTGTTACATGTAGCTTGCAAAAGCCCTCAACACAAGACAATGTTTTACAGATATCATTCAATTAGTGTTATCTATAACTTAGATCATTTATTAATTACCTTGAAGAGATCTGGATCAATTCCTTTAATCTTTGGAACTGGAACTGGGGGCAGAATCAGCATCTTAATCCTTGAAGACAATTAAAATTTTGGTGTGATATATCCTAAAAGTTGTACACTCTCTTATTTCAAAAGATAGAAATAAAATAGTGGCAGTGCTATTACTTATTTCAAATATCCTAGTCCTTTATAAGTGGAACATGAGAAAGAGCATGAAAATATTAAGCAGTAAATAATGAGGGAAAACTATAGAAGAAAAAAAAGAACAAAACGATAACAAAAAGCCCCTATCTGAAGTCAATTTAAATAACACATGGCTTTCCTGTAATCTCCCCCCCCCCCCCCCCCTAATGCCTTTTATTGACAGCCAGCGTTAGTATTTGGGAGTGAGAAATTTGATTTCTTCTAAAGCCAATTTCCATTTCAGTTATAAGAAAGGTAATGATACAGCACTTCACACCAGTAATTTGCAGAGAAAAGGCAGGGAGGGATAGAGAGAGGGAGGGAGACAGAGAGAGGGAAGCATTCAGAGGCAGGGAGTGCTTTCAGGAGGGAGAGGGGGAAGGAGGGAGGTAAGAAGGGAGGAAAGAAGGTAGGAAGGAAGGGAGGAAGAAAGAGATCGCCAATCCACATGGAGCCAAATTAGGGTGGACTGGGTAAGTGTGCACCACACAGCTCACATCAATGATGAGATTATATATGATGATCTCATTAGCCACAGTGTCCCTGCAGGGTTCATTTCAGTTGGGACCCACTACATTTGAGCTATTTCTAACTAATCTGTATTGCTTTATATACACAATTCTATGATGCAGTTAAATTTTCTGCTCCAAATATTTAAATTATTTTTTTTACCATAATTCATTTCAGTATCTATGCTGCCTGTTTTGTGCCTTATTGTATCACTAGCACTTAGGACAATTCTTGGCACATAGGCAATGCTCAACAAACATTTCTTAAGTAAATTTGAATAAATTATTTATCTATTTTGTTACTAGTGTAACTGGAGGTTTTTTTGTTTGTTTGTTCCTTACCCAAAGATATTTTTCCATTGATTTTTTTAGAGCGAGGGCAAGATAGAGAAAAATATCGACGTGAGAGAAACACATCAATTGGTTGCTTCCTGCATGTGCCCTGACCAGGGCCCGGGCCAGGGAGGAGCCTGCAACCGAGGTACATGTGTGTCCTTGATTGGAATCGAACCCAGGACCTTTCGGTCCTCAGGCCAATGCTCTATCCACTGAGCCAAACCATCTAGGGTTAGAGCAGGTGCCCTCAAACTTTTTAAACAGGGAGCCAGTTCACTGTCCCTCAGACTGTTGGAGGGCCGGACTATAGTTTAAAAAAAAAACTATGAACACATTCCTATGCACACTGCACATATCATCTCTTGAAGTAAAAAACCAAAATGGTAACAAATACAATATTTGTATTTGTATGTGGCCCGCGGGCTGTAGTTTGAGGACCCTTGGGTTAGTGTTTGTTTTAAAATCAACATTGTAGCTCTAGAATAAAGCTTGGAGATTAAAAATTTCAACCAACTAAAAACCTAAGTGTCAGAGATGGCAGGAATGGCAACCTGACAGCTGATATTCCACTCAATGTGAATGGACAGGTTAGTCTATTCAACAGGGAGCTCCTTTTCTGAATATTTCCATTGCTTTTTATTTTTACCTAACTGAAGGGATAAACCAAATTCCATTTTATTAGTTGTTTTGACTAGCCTCCATTAGGGTTACTCAGTGGGGCAAGTATTAAAGCAAACTGTTACTGATGAATACAAGATAAACAGTATAAAGTCTTAATGATAACTACCATGTTTTGAATGCCTCTGATAAAGCAGGTACTGATGGGTACATCTTGCACCAAACTATGGGCCGGCAAATTATGGCCTGTGGGTGAACCTCGTCTACTTTCTGTTTCTTTATAGTTTTTAAAAAAATTACATTTATTGGGATGACGTTGGTTAATAGGACCACAAAGTTTCAGTGTAGATTTCTGTTATGAGATCTGCATATTGCACTGTGTGCCCCCTACCCCATCCAAAGCTAAATCATCTTCCATCGCCATATACCCTCTGTTTTTATAAATTTTTACTGGAACACCGTCATATTCATCAGTTTCCATACTCTCTATGGCTGCGTTGGCTATGAAAGAGACTGCATGACCCAGGGAGCTCCGACACTCAGCATTCGGCACTTTATAAAACGGAATATTTCATGCAGTCCTTACAATTGCCAGGGAGGGAGAGGGCCTTCTGTGGAGAGAGTCAGAGGTTCAGGGCAGGTGTTCAAGTCATGCACTAATATTTGGCACAGCTGGGCTCAAATCTAAGTCAGAACCCGGCCTTTGTCCCTGTGGTACTGCTCTTGTCCGGTTCTGCATCTCTAAATGGATGTTTCCAATGTTTGAAAAATACAGAAACGTACCCTAACCCTAATCAGAGGAAGCAAAGAGCCCAAGTGTCTAGCGCTTGAGTTTTAGGCGTGCCTCCCTTTTCGGAAGAGGCTGACAATGGAAGCACGTGTTGGCAGTTAGCTTTCTGGGAGCTGCGGTTGACCTGATGCCAGGGTGCCCAACCCTGTGGCCCACAGGGCCCAAGAATGTCCTGCCTGTGAATGAGACAAGACAGTGGCAACGCCACAGGGAGAGATGGGCATGGTGACAGACCAGAGAATGCCCTTCCCAGATGGGACAGCCGGGCCCCTGCTCGGCGTAGGTTGCCAGAGGGTCCCATCAACCCAGTTTCGCTAGATCTTCGTTTTTAAAGACAATCTGCAAATATGACTTTCTATGGGGAAACTCCATCTTTTTGTATAACACTCTGTAGCAAAATCTTTACTTCAAAATCAAAACAACATCCAGGAACAACACACAGGTCGGCAGGCTGGTTTCGGCTTTCTGTGTGCCCTGCTGTTTCGCGCTGACTCCGTTATTATTTCTTTCCTGCTTAGTAACAGCTCCAAGGCCAGGGGCGAGTCATATGGTGGGAACCACAGAGTCTAGAACAGAGATGACCCTGGCATGAAACTGTTGTGACTTTGCTATCCTCTTATTGAAATCCAAGTCACAGGGCAAGTTTTGCGAGCATGGACTCCATCATCTGGACTTGAAAAAGAAGTGGATTCAAAACTTCAAGCAAAGACACGGAGGCCCTGAAGTGCTTCCCAGCCTAAGGCTCTGGGCAGGCTCACAGGGCACCTCAGTCTAATTACTGTTCTAATTGCTAGCACTACATGTTCTTTCCACACCTGCTGGCCAATGTGGTCTACCATTTCCTACTTCCATTAAATCACGGAAATTTAGATGACGATAAGGATTTTTATGGGCAAATGAAAGAAAACATGTACTTCTTTTCTGCAAAGAACTTACGTTAGCACAGGAAATCTGGAAGTACAACCATTTCTAAAACTGTTACAATTTGACGGGTTTGAACAAACTATAGGTAAGAACTTCATCATTCATAGAAAACACTTTTCTGACAGAGGTTAATATCCTTTCTTTGAAATCCTATTTTTTAAAATATATTTTTATTGACTTCAGAGAGGAAGGGAGAGGGAGAGAGAGATAGAAACATCAATGAGGAGAGAGAATCATCGATCCCCAAACCCAGCATGTGCCCTTGACCAGAATGGAATCTGTGACCCTTCAGTCTGCAGGCTGACACTCTATCCACTGAGCCAAACCTGCTAGGGCTGAAATCCCATTTTTGGAGAGTGTTATTTTTTTCTTTGAAATATTATTAGCTAATATATTTAAACTACCTAACATTTATTTAGCTTTCACAATGACTCAACATCGACAGCTAATATCAAGAGGAAATTACTTTATATACATCAGGGTTTTATCGGCTGCAGTTCCATATAAACTAGCCCTTCAACTGTACAGATCAATGAATTAAAATTAATCAACAAAATAAATGGACTCCTTTGTTGTTGGTGTTACTTAAATATATAAATTAATTAAAGGTCTAAAAATGTATTTAGCCCAGCTGGTATGACTCAGTGGTTGAGCATCGACCTATGAACCAGGAGGTCATGGTTTGATTCCCGATCAGGGCACACGCCCGTGTTGTGGGCTCTATCCCCAGTGTGGGGTGTGCAGGGGGCAGCCAATCAATGATTCTCCTCATCACTGATGTTTCTCTCTCTCTCCCTTCCTCTTTGAAATCAATAAGATATATTTTTAAAAAGGTATTTATTCTTTTACTATTTTCCCCAAAGAAGTAACACTTGTGTTTGTAAAATGGACATGTTGCTAGGAAGTGAGGTGTAAAATGAACTTCCGCAGTGAGAATTTTGCTTCCCCCCCCCCGGCCGACATGGTAAAGCCACTCTCCCACAGGAACCCTTGCAGATTCCCCTGCAGACGTGGCAGGCTCACTCTGGAACTCCAGATGCTGAGCATTCTTCCTGCTACTCCCGTTCTTTTTGGAGGTTGACAAATGCTATCCATACAACTTCAAATATCAAATTGGAAAGCTTTTATGTATCTCCACAAAGACCGCATTTTGATTTGCAGATGCCTCTTGGCTGTCCTGGGGAACTTGCCTGCTGTTCTGGGTGGGGTGACCGACCATCTCGGTTTGCCTGGAACTCAGGAATTTCTCAGGACACTGGACTTCTAGTGCTAAAAACAGGCAAGTCCCAGGCAAACTGGGAGTGCTGGTGACCCTAGTTCTAGGGGAAGGAGCTAGATTAACTCATGGGACTCTAAAAATATTCTAAATGTAAGAAAACTGGCAATCAGGATCAATAATTTTTCCTAAATGCTGTATGAAAATTTCTCGTTGTCTGCACCGGGTTTCTTTCAGAAAGAAACACAGAATTACAGATCTTACAGCTCCAGGGAATTTTAATGGTCACAAAATCGACCATAATACCCATGAGAACACGAAGACCCAGAGAGGTTAAGGGATCACCCAGGTCAAACACAGTGGCAGAATAACATCTGGAACCCGAGTCTTATACCTCCCAGAGAACACAGACAGGACTCTCTTCAAGCTTAGAAAGAATTTAAGCTGTGTTGACACATGAGTTTGAAATAGCAAATCGTAAGTATCCAAATAATTTAGAAGTTTTTAAAAAAATATATTTTTATTGATTTCAGAGAGGAAGGGAGAGGGAGAGATAGAAACACCAATGATGAGAGAGAATCACTGATCAGCTGCCTCCTGCATGCCCCCAATGGGGATCGAGTCTACAACCCAGGCATGTACCCTAGACCAGAATCGAACCCAGGACCCTTCAATTCGCAGGTCGACTCTCTATCCACTGAGCAAAACTGGCCAGGGCAGTATCCAAATAATTTAAATAAAACTTGAAATTACTTGAAATTGCCACGCTAGGAAGTCTGAAAAGGGTGTATTTGACTGGTTTATCTCGGTGGCTTTAGTTTGCCACTTCAATTTGCTTGTACATCAGATTAGGACAGTGTGAAGCTCAGCCAGAGGCACAGAGCTCCCGGTGGTCTCGTGTGAATGTGTGACCTTGTTCAGGACTGTGAAGGGGCGAGGAGGCGGCTCTGAGTGACAGCCTTGTTAGGAGGCGCATGGCCAGGTGCACGGCCCCGCCTCTCCATGTCCGGCACAACGTCCCAGGGAGAAGGCCAACCTGCGAACCCTCTCTGACGCACAAATCGAAGTGGTAAATATGTAACTGGAGGTGACATTTTCTTGGGTTCATTACAATTTTCACTCATGATTTGCAAAAGAAAACACCAAATAACGAATGGAAAAACACATGGAAATCCAAACAACTGGCAGAAACATGAAGGCAGACTATGTCACACCTACCTTTGCTGCTTAGAAAACATGAATAAAAATATCACCGTCAGCCCAAACATTCCAAAGATAACAATTAAGAACCACGGGAACCGGAAATCTGAAACACAGGAGAACCAAGAGCTGAAGTTGACATTGCATTTTCTTTTTTCATATAAACATATTCCCTAATTTGTATCCATTAGTAGTCAGTGATTTCACTGATAATCACTGAAAACAGAACACAACAATTTAGAATAGTGGTCTGCTCTGTTCCTTTCACATTAAAAAACAACAACAAAACAGCACGCAGCTTAAGCACAGTCCATGTGATAAGGAAAAACTGCTGTATGTGACTTATATGTTCAGGGGTGTCACTGGAGGCTTCAGCTCTAGCAAACAGGGCTGCTGAGCAACACGGGACTTTACCTCAATACCGTCGACTTGGTTCCTTTTTAAAAAGTGTGGTGAGAGTTTTCATCCTCCAGACTGAGGATCTATCAGAAAGACGGGGGCAGAGTTTTTATTTATTTTCTATTTTATTCTTAATATTTTTATTGATTTCACAGAGGAAGGGAGAGGGAGAGAGAAACATCAATGATGAGAATCACCAATGATGAGAGAGAATCACGGATGGACTGCCTCCTGCACACATCTGTTGGGGATTGAGCCCGCAACCCAGACACGTGCCCTGATCAGGAATCGAACTGTGACCTCCTGGTTTACAGGTTGACGCTCAACGACTGAGCCACACTGGCCGGGCAGAGTTTTTAAGGTTGAACCACAAAGGAAACCTTTTAGACTTGCAGAGCTTATCATTTCACAGCTTCAAAAACTCCTTGGACAGGAGATCACTACGGGGGCTCCCTCCTTCAGATTTTCATAAACTCTGCAGCAGACTTCGGGAAATCGGTTTCTACAATTTCTATTTTGTTCCTTAAAAACAAGTGCCTTGCAGCTGGCTTCCAGCCTTCTTACTGCACTGGTGGAGGTTCACCGTGTTTTAATTAAGAAGGGCAGGTGGTACTTACTTTAATGTTGCCTTATTAAAAGGAGGCCTTTCTACTGCAATATACTTTCCTTATTTTAATGTTCTTGTTCACTTACTAAAATCGCCCCGGGAGATATTATGGGTGTTACGGAGAACCAGTGGGAAAGAGAACACCACTTGCGTCTGGTGGCATTTTTAGTTTTATGTAAATGACATGTTCAGGAACATAGCATAAAGCTGGTGCTTTGTTTTCTTCTTCTTTTTAACATGGAAGAAGAAGTCAGTTAAAATAATCTATGTTCAACGAATGAAATGCCATCACAATAAACTTAAGGGCGTGTGGCAAGTGTGTTTTATAAACCAGAATTTCATCATATCAAATTGTTTGAAACAGCAAGGCTGTTGAATAGAGCTTAGGAAAAAAAAATGGAGGTATAGACATTTTGACTCAAGTGCTATTTAGTATCATGGATGCTACCTGTACAGTAAATGCAAAATACACATTTCATTTCTCTGTAGCCTGTGATTGTCCTTTAACAAACCTTAGCTCCTCCCATGGCCCATAAACTTCATCCTTAATGGAGATGAGCTATAGCCCATTCTCATTCGGGAGTGATAGATAACCTTTTATACACATGATATCAAGCACTGTATTCCAACACTTGAATTCTCTTACTATGAATCCACAGGCTTCATGTCTTTAAACTGTCGTTATCTGTGTATTTCTCTTGTACGTGATCTCCAGATGTTCCAGGCCATTTTCAGGCATAACTGGCCACTACTTACTACAACTTCTCCAGGTAAAAGCCACATCCGAGCTTCCTAACATCCAACAGCACCTGCCTTTGACCACCTGCGCTGACTCAGTGTTCGGCTTCCTCTTAGATGCCACGTCGTGCATCCACCTTAGAGATGCAGAATTTCTTCATAATGTATTTGAAAACTATTTTTTTTCTGATTATAAATGCAAACAACTCACTGTAGCAAATCTTAGAATTATAGAATCACCTGAAATCTGGATATCTGGAGATAACCCTCATTAACACCTTCCCCTCTGTAACTTGCATCTATCCACAACTTTTCCTGAATTAAAGGATTCAAACACTAAATCGTCCTCCTGCTTTTTAATGGGTTATACCTGCTCTAGAGAGTGAGCTCGAGGTCACCCTGACATGAGCTGCTAATGTATCTTGATTTGGACAACATCCTAACACAGTTCAGGGAATGCATCACTATATATCGACGAAAGCCATGGTGGCTGCCACTTTAATCTTTCATTTTTACCTTCTTCACATGGCACTGGGCTCATCTGAGGAAGTGTTACATAGAGCACCTCACTGAACTCGCCGTATTTTTCTGAGTTTCGTTGCCTGCATCTCACGCGCACTTCGTACTCTTTATCGAGTCTCAGTGAGTACACTGGAACGGATGTTGACAATACAGGGTCCATCTTTCAAGACAAAACATAACACTTATTGGTTAGAGAGTCAACACGCAATGCAATAAACTCTGCAAGGCTCATCTGCATTCATCTGTAAAGTAGGTAATATTGTGAAAATGCATTGGGTGGTGCTATTTAAAGAAAGACCAAGGCAAATAAGTTTACAAAGAATCATTTGTTCTATGGACAACAGGCCTCAGACTTATTTTGGTATAGACCCAGAGATTTGATAGACTTATGTAGACCAGGCTGTCAAATATCCTAGCATCAAAGCATAATAAAATTTTTATGGAAAAACGACAGAATTAGAAGACTACAGGTATGTTTGCCTACCCATTGTGATATCATAGTTTTGTATGAAAACATAAGAATAGAAAAACAGATCATAGTCATCCTTTGGAAATTCTGGGTAGTCGTTCATATGATCAAAGAATTGGAAGGGGTCCTAGGAAAATTATGGTTGTCTTAATTGAACTTTCTTTTTTTTGGTTAATCCTCACCCAAGGATATTTTCCCATTGATTCCAGAGAGAGTGGAAGAGAGGAGGACACACACACACACACACACGCACGCACACACACACACACACACAGAGATACATCAATGTGAAAGAGGCATATCATTGATTGGTTGCCTCCTGTATGCTCCCCAACTAGGGCTAGGGATGGAGCCTGCAACCAAAGTACATGCCCTTGACCAGAATCGAACCCAGAACCCTTCAGTCAACAGGCCAATGCTCTATCCATTGAGCCAAACTGGCTAAGGCTTAATTGAATTTTCAAATAATTCTAATAAAAGCAATTACATACATAATCTGAGTGTTCTAGAAGGTTCAAAGCCACTCCCAAATAGTGTGCTATTCAAAATCTGCAAAGAAAAGTCACAGGATTGCTTGGTGATTAACAGCAGGGTCCCAGAAGCCTTAAGGCCAGGCTGTTCTTTTACCTTCCAGAGAAGGGCAGGTGAGGCTGTTACAGGTTTAAAACATGTCACTATCAAAGAAGCAGACCCAGTTAGTGAGGGTGTTCTCCTCTAAGGCAAACATTCCGACTCAGTATCCAGTATGTGCTTTTTGTATATTTCCTGGTAGAACACGCCGTTCCTGTTTATAAAAGGCTAGGAACACTCATCTTTTCAACAGCATAGATCTTTCACATAAATATTCTCCTAATTTGTTTTGCTAAATCAGAAGCTGGACCTTCAGTTTCTAAAACAAATTCTCCTTTCACCTCGGTTAGTTGCTACTCACAAAGTATCTCTTATGTGTTCCCCCGTGTACATGGGACGGTAATTTTGCACTGTGTAAAGACGCTTCTCAATGTATGGAATGTTACATGCCTAAAAGGCTTTTTAAAGGTGGAATTCTGTGTATTAAACTTATTATTTTTCTTGAACTATTTTAAAAGCCTATGTTTTCATTCTTAACACCCTAATTTCTCTGCTATTGTCACCAATGTTATTTCTTTACAGATTTTACTAATAACAAAAGCAGACAGGGGCTCTCATTGGACCCATGACCCCCTCTCTGTCCTCTCTCAGCCCTCCACACCCACCACACCACACTCCATCTGCTCATATCCCACCTGCTCACACAGCTCCCACCGCCACATGGAACTCCGCCACCTGCCTGTGAGGGAACGCCCATTCTGGCCAAGCCTAAGTGTAAGCATTGCTGAAATTCTAAGGAGTCTTTCCTGGCACCTTCTCTACCATCCTGCCAGATAATACACATCATATATTACTTCTGGAGTTTTCCTGCTCAGATTTCTGTATTAGACTGCAAATTCTCTGGGGACAAACAACGCCTTCATTACCTTTAGGTATACAGTGGGTGAGCAAGAGATGGCTCATACGCTATAGATAATTCTATGCCACTCATTAAGCCCTGAAAGAAAACCATCAATTATTAACTTATCTAGCAGGTAAATAGTGTAACTACATGGTCATTAGTATTACTTTTATATTAAAAATGCATTTAATTTAAAAAAAGATACAAAACCAAATTCAACATTGCCAAGTGGTAACATGGATTCCTGATATAAGCAACAAACACTAGCCTTTTCCCTTCTACTTCCAAACCTCCCCTCTTTTTACGCTTATGGCATACGTGCTCATAACCCATTGGACTGCGAGTTTCTTCCAGAGAGAGGGCGATTCTTACGAAGAGGCCCTTGATATTCATGACCACTTTTGTTGAGACCCTTGCAAATGACCAACCTTACAAAATACTATGAATATGTAACTTCACTCATAAAAGGTAAGTAAACATTAACGGACGCCTTGGAACGAACTAATGGGATGTTTAGCAGGGTCCAATGAAGAGTGTGATGAGGCCTTGTTGGAGGCAGCTCTGAGCATCACTTGACTGAGTCCCAGGCTCCCATGTACCTAGCTCATAGCTCAGGATGCAGGCTACCTACTTGTAGCTTAGACATGACTACATACCCGGGTCTTTCAGGCTTGAAACTATGATTAGGAAATGAATGAATTCTAATGTTCTCAAATACATCCCTGCTTTTTCTAGCTTGCCAAGCTTTTTAGTCTCAGGATTCTTTGACACTCTTAAAAATTATTGTGAATCATAAGGATTTGGCTGATTTGGGTTATACTATCATTATTTACCATATTAGAAATGAAAACTGAGAAATTAAAATGTGCTAATTTTAAAATTAAAACAATAAATTGATTTAATGGTAACCTAATATATTTTTATAAGAATTATTGTACTTTCCCAAACAATAAGATTATAGGGAAAAGAATGCCATTGTTTTACATTTTTGCAAATCTGTTTGGTAGAAGATGGCTGTATTTTTACATCTGCTCCTAACTAAACTTGTTAGGATGTGTTGTTTTGGTTGACATGCATGAACAAAATTGAGGAAAAGGAAGGGTATTTTGATAGGCTTTTCAGATAATTGTGGCTATTCTTTAACACCAACAGCCAAACTCAGCAAGTGGCATTTTCTTAGAGGCTAGCTACAGTGTGGAATTGGAAACCGTATCAGTGAATCTTCTGTACGCTGTTCCGTTAGCATCCACCATTCCCTCTGACTCTGAATGAACCATTTCCCCATGCGTGATTTTCATTACACCATGTACTGATTATTTGGAAAAGATTGGTTCCCTGAGTTATGCAGATTTTCTAAACGTACACGTATTTTATTATGCAATATAAAAAATCACTTTTGCTAACGGTATCATCATTCATCTCATCAGGAGTGTCTTCAAAGATAGGAAGCTAACAAGGTCATGGTTGTACAAGGTTTTCCAAAATTCCGATTTTCCCTGGTAAGCTCGGATTTTTCATTGGCAACAAATACTGTCAATTGTTTTTCTTGAAGCGATGAGCTTACTTCATTTTTTTTCAAGAAATGTTTGCCAAATATTTGCTAACTCAAATCTATCCGTCTACCAGTGGTCTTCCACGTACAACTGGTGCTCCCAACCGCGGTCCCTACAGAAGCAGCGAGTTCCACTGGTAGCCCCGCTGGGTAAGGGCTTTTTCTCAAGACAACCATCAGCACCGCGTAGGCAGCAAAAGCGCTTTACCTGGGTTTCCACGCGGCACACAGAATATTAAAAAGCTGTGTCCTCAAAGGTCGGGCTGGAACAAAACTGAAAATTTTCAAAGCTGCATCAAGGGCGCTCTTGTGTGCAACTGGCTCCCTCCCTCCCTTCCCTGTGAGTGCTCGGTGACTAGCAGTACGAGTCGGTATTACTGCCATGCTCTGTGCTAAGGCGGCCTCAGTTTCCCCATCACTGCTTTTGTACCATCAGGGCAAATCTCACCACAGTGAAAAAAAGAAATAACATTTTAGCATTGTTATGAAAACAGTCTTGACCTTGCGGACTCATTGAAAGGGTCTCAGGGACCCTCAGGGGTCTACAGTTCCTGCTTTGAGATCAGCTGCCCTGGGGTACCTGAGTACAGTGGTTATTTCACTCCCCGGTGGCTGGCTACATGTTTGATGAGCGTGGATTTAGAAAGTCTCGTTTGACTCAGCATCCAACCAGGCTTTTTTTACACCAGGTCACAGAATGGATATCTAAATTAAAACGATGGCGAAAACAGAACCTCAAAGCCCAATATTTAACTGTGCAAAGCTGCTCCAAATTTAGCTTTCCTCCAGTGACAAAATCAGCCACTTCTTCAGCAGTTCACTGAATGGACAGGGCCCGGTGTCTGAAGAGTCGGCGGCGAGGCTGTGCCAGCCGCCGGGCATGACTGATGCCCGGCCAGAAACCACTGGACTTGGCCGGGGCTGTGGCTGTGGTCAGACTGATTTAGAATTAGTTATATTGGGAGCAGCATGATAATCCTGTTTTTCTTCGTGCTGTGTGCCATGCGGAATTTATCTAAGTGCCCGGTTCCCACACGCTTGGCAAGGAAGTGAGGAGTTCAGAGGTCAACCAGTACCATGCTCCTTGCAGACTTAAAAACCTTTTAGCTTGATTGTCCCCTGAGGTATTTAACCAAATATCCTTCTGAAGCCTCTAAAGGGCACATTCCCTCCCTCCGTTTCCCTCCTGGAGTCACTCAAGAACTTATTTTAACGAAGCTCTAGTGAGGAGTAGCAACTAACATCATGGGAGAATATTTAGCCGTAGCTCACTGTTGACCTTGATGATGACCCTTCCCATGTTTAGCCACATCCCCAAAGACAGCTAAGTGGCTAGAGTATACAAGTTTGTTCTAAAGTTAAACTGGACAGCAAGGATGACTGGGGACACAGTATCCTTTTCCTTCCAGAGGCTTCCATAGAAGCTCCATGCTCTTGGACAGGACCCCAAGATGATACTTTTCTGATTATTTTCCTCCAATAAGCAATGATGCAGCATATAGCATGGCCATGTGGTACTAGGTCCAAAGGACATATACCCATGAGAGGGGGTGTTGAATCAAACGAAGACAATTCAAAAGGTTTCCAGTGTGATTTGTAGTGATATCTTACCATTTTCCACTGGGTCTCGTTTATCTCTTTGTATTGCAGCTCGTACTCCAGGACGATCCAGCCTTTCTGAACGTCTGCGTTGGACGGTGGCTCCCATCTCACCTGGATGTCCGCATGAATCCCCGTCAGGCTGGTGTTCAGCAAAGTCCAGTTGAGGCCGATGGGTGGATCTGGTTGTACTGTGCGTTTCAATGGAGAGTTAGTACGCACCTGGGTAGTGACGGAATGCTTTCCTCTGAAGAGACCACGTTACTTTACACATTTCATTATTCACACTCTCAATTCTTCTAATAATCCTATCAGTCTATTCTCACTTTATTAGTGAGCACCAATTTTTCCTTAAGGGCAATCTGTGTGTAACTCTAAAAATCCCATATGAAAGTCCTTTTCGAGTTTAAAGTCTGAACTATAACTTTTCTTAAAGATCGTCTGGGTTTTGCATTTCTTTGAGCTCTGATAGAGTTAATGCTTTGGGATTTGGCAAAGGGATTCATTCTAACTAAGGAACAGAGTGAGAAAGACCTACGGCATTTAAACACGCGGCTATATTAGGAATTCAGGGTAGAGGAGACTTTTCTCTTCCAAACTGTTCATGACCTGCGGCAAGGGCCTTGCTTCACTCACTTCTGTGCTGCTACCAGCACAGTCCTCCCCAACACTCAGCCAGTGCTCCTTGGCGGGTCTTCCCAGCCACATGCGATCATTTCCCCAGACCTAAGGAGGGAGGCACTGCACGGCTCTCTCAGATGGTGATGCTGCCCTGTTTTCCTTCACTTAACCCATGTGAACAACTGGCAACAGTGTTTTGCTTGGTTTCTACCAACTGCACATTCTCGGGTAGATCTGCTGCATTTCGCCTGTTAGCATCACAAAGACCATAATTTCCCAAAGGCAGATGAAGAGAAAGATGGACTCTAAAGCCAGGAACTCTATCTAAATGTACATTCTAGATCAGGGATGGGGAACCTTTTTTCTGCCAAGGGCCATTTGGATATTTATAACATTCACGGGCCATACAAAATTATCAACTTAAAATTTAGCCTGCTATATTTGGCCAAACATTTAATTAACTCACTCCTACTGCCGTGGCAGGGCCAGACCAAATGATTTTGAGGACCTTATAAGGCCCACGGGCCGGAAGTTCCCCACCCCTGTTCTAGATAGTCCCCAATAAAATGTTGCTATTTGGGTCTCAGTACCAGACACGGAGTAAAATTTACTTTCTTTTCTATTATATGGAGGTCACCTGGAATGTGGCAACGTCTGGGTCCCCAGGGTTGATCAGAGATAGGCCTACAAATATACCTTGTGGGGAGCTCTTTTTGGCTGTTAAAATTTGGTGGCCAAAGAGGGGAACTCTTCTTTCAACCAAGGCTGAAACAATCATAGTGCTATCGGCCACTATGGAGTGAGCACCACTTTAAAAAAAAAATAGAGAAAGTCCAAATTTGACTAGTCATGACTACATTTGGGAAATTAAATTAGAGTGATTTGCAAAACAGCTAAGCTACATATGCCACATACTGACAGTAATACCTTCTTTTCTGGATTTGTTGGGGACTGATGTTCTGATAACCAAAGCTTAACCTTATAAGTGACCGAACTATAAAAAATGTTTTTCATGGGAGATTTTCTAAAACATATTACTCATGTGACATCTTTAAAATTTCCCTACTTTAAATAGAAGATGAACGGGCCCTGTTGAGAAGGCACGGCGACCTCTCCTGACCTCTATACTTCCGTGTGCCATACCTGCCAACTCCTCTGAGATGTTTAAAAGGCACCTGAGACTGCCACATCTCCAAATTGACCCAGGGCTAGTCATTTAATGCTCTGAGCCTCAGTTTCATCATCTGTAAAATGGGGATGATAAGGACCTATCTCCCATGGTTATTAGATCTGAATCATGATAAATGCTTTGGAAGTGTTAACTATTACTATCCTTAGGTCATGTTCCCGCTTAAACATCCTCAAATGTGCCCCTTGCCAGTAAGATAAAGTCCAAATTCCTTTGTGGGGCATCACTGCTGATTTCTGTGGCTGACCAGTCGGGCCTGCCTAACTGCTCCTGAGTCTTTGAAATTTCTGTGCTATTTGTCACTTTTGGAATATAGTAGTTGTTGGAAGACACAGTCCATCTTGTACACCTGGCAACCCCACACATGCTTTAAGGAGCAACTGAACTGTCCCCATCTCTGTGCAGCCCTTCCTCAGTCAATCTGTCACACCTCTGGCTCCCACCTTGGCTGGCTATGTGTCCCACACACCTGGAGTCCAGCACCCACTATGGCGCTTATTTATTATTTATTGCAATTATTTGCCAACATGCCTGACTCTCTGACTTGACTGTATGTTATTTATTCTGAAGCCATTATACCTGGGCACAGTGCCCAACTCATGGCTGGCACTCAGTGACTCAGTCAGGTACAAGAGTGGGACTGGCAATTGGCAGACACAGGGTCAGGACATGGGTCTTGACCCAGTATTCTTAGTACTACACACTTAACCACTCAATAGCTACACTTATGCGTGTTAGGACATATACTCAGTAGTCTCTCTCACCAATGCAGTTAGGTTCTCTTTTCTGCTTAAGTTTTCTTAATGTTCCCTCTCAAAGTTAGGCTATCAGATCTACTTGTTTTTCTCTGCAGCTCCTAGCCACTTTCTCTCTGTCTCTTTCCATTTGCTGATGCCTGGGAAACCAGACAAGAACAGCCCATCCGAGAGAAGCTCCAAGGAATTCCTATGCGCAACAAATGAGCTTTTGTGGGTAGATTTGAGGCACTGATGTCAGCTACTCAAAGTCCTTCTTTGATTTTTTTCCACTTAGCTGTTTATACTACTATCGTTTAAACATCCCAATTTAGCTGCTTGTGTTCTTCTGTTGCATTTCCCCTGTGTCCACATGATGGGCAAGTGGTAGTCTGTCTGCAGCTTAGTTCATTGCACTGATTATCTCCAATGTTTGTCTGGAGATCTTATAAACATGTCTTTACACGGATTTGGGCTGTTTTGTAAATGGAAACCCCCCGATTTACTGTGCTTTGTGTTAAAAGAAAATCTAGGCACTTATTAGAGCAATGGAAGAGATGAAGGCCAAGCTATATCAGCAGATATATAATAATCATATTGAATGATTAAGAGAGAAGGAATCTTAAGAGTACGTTGAGTTTGCCCCCCGCAGTGGCACACAATACAATCCAGCTTAAACACCTCCTCAAGGAAGATTCCACAAGGCTCCCCCTCTTTCCTTTTCAACATTTGCTGCCAGATTCTCTTATATTAGAGCCAACTTAAGTCCCCGCTGCCCTTTCCTTCTTGTTCAGCAGCTGATCTCGTGCCGGTCAAGTAGACCGCCATCCACCTGTCGGGCACAGGGACAAGGTCTTCCTACACAAATACATTTGAATGTTGTAGACCTCCCCGCTTACTTAATCTAAAGCCATGTCAAATGAAACACAAACCTGTGATTTACCTATTTCCTCGACAGAGAAGCACTTCTGATCCACCGTACCACCATTGTTAGTGAGCTTGATGCAGTAGGGCACCCAGATGGAGGTATACGATGCGTTAAAGTAACAGCTGTTTTCTCCCGCAGAAACGTAATCAGGGCATTCTTTCCATTCTTGAGTCCATTCTTGAGTGTTCCTGAAATGGAGGGTAAAAAAGGATGAATTGTTTCAAAACCATGCTATAGCTCAAGTCAAAGCGAGGTGCCTGACAATCAGATTCAATGAGCAGGACACAAATATTTATGAGCAAGTACTTTAGTGACACCACTTCCAATATGTGTCACATTCATAGGCATCGTCAGGGTCTGCAGAAGGATCAGGGGCTGTTTGGTACTTCTGCCAATAGGAAGAACCCCTACTCACTGACGGCATATGAGTGCCAGCTCCTAAGCCAAGTGATTCATTGGTAGATGGCTTATTATCCTTATTCTACAAAGGAGGGTTCTGAGGCTTAGGGAGGTTGAAAAATGTCCATTAAAACACAATAGACAGTCAATTAACTGCCAAACTGTAGAGATTCCCACAGAACTGCGAGTCCTTAATCCTGGGTGTTTCTCTGTCAGAAGCTAATTCTAGCATGTCATAATTTCAAGAGTTTCATCAAAAGGTTGATGGAACTTGGGGACTCAACAGGGTTGAGTCTCACATGTAGTCACCTGTTGGGAATGGCTGAAGGCATTTCCCCAAACCTGAAAAGGAATGACTGCTTGGCTGCCAGACAGCTAAAGGGCATCTTAATCTACATGTTATTGCCTCCTACTGGCCAAATACCTGAACAGCCGTAGGCTAATTCCCCCAAATCTGACAATGCTTCTGTGTAAAAAACCCGACCCTTTGAAGTGTATATGTCTGCCTCGCCTAAGGACAAATTGTGTTAATAAAAAGCATGGGGCCCTGAGACAAGAACTTAGATCTTAGTTTCCTTTAAACCAGGCTCCTCTGACCCCCAACATTTCTCCAACTCCTGGCGAAAGGAACCAGGGCATGTGGATGGCATTCTCCAGGCTGAGTAACACTCAGGTGCAGGTGACCTTGAGGTAGAAAATTGGTTACTACCCTTCTCTAGACCACTGTGTCCCATGTCTACCTCCCCACGGATGTCCTATGTTTGGGAGAGTTTTCCTGATGCCTTGAACTCCTTCCTAGACTTCTGATTTTTTCCTTAATTATATGAAGAGCCATGAAAACATTGCAAACATGCAGGACATTCCAGTGATATGCAGAGAACATGAAATCCTAGCCTCTTCTCCCCTACCCCTGAAAGAGACAGAAGGCATGAACCCAGAAATCTAAAAGTCTCTCCAAACCCAGAAAAGCATTTTTCTTTTCCACTTTTTTTTTAAAAAAAATATATTTTATTGATTCTTTACAGAGAGGAAGGGAGAGGGACAGATAGTTAGAAACATCGATGAGAGAGAAACATCGACCAGCCGCCTCCTGCACCCCTCCCTCCCCCCACTGGGGATGTGCCTGCAACCAAGGTACATGCCCTTGACCGGAATCGAACCTGGGACCTTTCAGTCCGCAGGCCGACGCTCTATCCACTGAGCCAAACCGGTTTGGCTCTTTTCCACTTTGTAACTAGAAATTGACATTTCATGACAGAATATAGAAAAAAAAGGGGAAACAAACATGGGCTGAATGGAATAAACATATTTGCTTATGAATTCCTTTTTTTTTGGTTTCTCCACAAGCAAGTTCCTCTTTTCCTAGACCTTGGATCAGATGAAAACAAACAAACGAACAACAGAACAAAGCAGGGACAGAGGGACACTCGGAGAACACTGAGCTAATAAGGAAGCTGGGTCTTCACATTTGCATTCCACCACGGAGTTATTCATCGCTGCCCCACTCTGCAGAGAGCGCCCTTTACCCAGATGACTGCAAACCACAGCAGGGCATACATTGAATGGAAAAGAGATGCCAGGAAGTTCACTGCAGACAAAAGTCAGAATTTTGGGAAAGGAAATTCCCTGGTCTGCTGCCATGGGGACCTGGACAAAAATGCAGAGCAATCAAAGGACCGCTCCGACTCGTCTCCCGCAGCGGGAATAGTGCAAACATGTGAAAGGATGTAACACTGCTCTCCCAAGTCCCATCGTCTGAGTGACTGATTGACCCCAGCAAGCCATCTTTGGGGTCCTACTAGGCAAGCACCATATAGCACTGTGCGGATGTGATAATTCATAAGATTTGGTCCCTACCTTTCGGTTGGAGAAAGAACTAGAAATTACCATCTCAGTACTTGTTTTGGTCTCCTGCTTTCATTCCATTGATATTTAATAAGCGTTGATTATATACAGAACATTGTGCTGGGCATATGGGAGGGTCATGTGTGTCTAAGGAGTTACTCTTGCTTCAGGGGTCTGATTAAAAACTGTATTATAAAGGAGTGTGAGTAAGTGCTCATTAGGCTCCCTAAGAGTTCAGAAGAGGGAATGAGTGCTCTGGCTGTTCACGGAAGGCTTCAAGGTGGAGGCGGTGTTTCTTAGCAACCTTGAATGATGGGAAAAGTTTAATAGATGGCAATAGGGCAGTGATGGCGAACCTGTGACACGCATGTCAGAGGTGACACGTGAACTCATTTTTTTGGTTGATTTTTCTTTGTTAAATGGCATTTAAATATATAAAATAAATATCAAAAATATAAGTCTTTGTTTTACTATGGTTGCAAATATCAAAAAATTTCTCTATGTGACACGGCACCAGACTTAAGTTAGGGTTTTTCAAAATACTGATACGCCGAGCTCAAAAGGTTCGCCATCACTGCAACAGGGAAAGGAAAGGAGGGAACGGGGTGGTCAAAGGCATTTAGGGAGAGAAGTACGGGACTGAATGTAGTGAGGGGTGCAGGAGGCAATGGAATAACTGGGAATACTTTCTTAAATTAGAATTGCTACTTGGGTGGAATGAGTTCGTATTGGTTTATTCTTCACTAGGCTATCTGCTTGAAAAGAGGGTTTATGAATCAAGGAGATATAGAGCCAGGAAATCTGTGGCAGAGGAAATGGGCAGCAGGAGTGGCCCCACGCAGCCCCAGGTGTGAGGGCTGGCAGGCCAGACTGGAGGTCTGTGAGCTCTGCCGGGGAAGGGGGAATGGCACTGTGGGGAGGGCAGGGCCTGGGAGGAAGGAATGAGGTGCTGGGGGAAGACACAGGCTTCCTCCTTTCCAGCTGTTTCTCAGGCTGGTCTATTGGCACCAGGAGGAAACTTGTGCAATATCAGGAGGTCCTTGGGACAGCTGCTCATCAGCTGTTGAAAGAACTTGGAATTCAAATGGCAGAAACACCAGGGTCCCAGACAGGGAACTATCGCTTCAGTTCTGGTTGAGTTTCTTAAACGTTGCAAACCCTTGGATGAGATGAAGACTCAGCCCTGATGGGAAAAATGTGGGTAGAAGCAAGGATAAATCATGTATGTATGTGTGCATTTATAGTAGAAGAAAGATTTTTAAACATTAGGAATAGGAGGGTCATTGAACTATAATACGATTTATTTTATCTTGAGTTTCAAACTGAAAATAATAGTGCATGAAAGGGGACGGTTTAACAAGAGAGCCCAGGGGATGAGGCTTCCATACACTGGCAGAAGGGATACAAACTGTGTTTAGAACACTCATAGTATTAAAGTTGGTATTAAAATGTCCTAAAGATGTGGGCCACTGCTTGCCAGGTCTGGATTTGACCTAGACAGGTTAGCTCTGTGTGTTCCACAGCTTCTCAACGTTGGCATGTCAGGCCCCTGTCCCCCATGGACCACAAACCCTCTTTGGATGACCCCAAATCCATTAGCTCCAAAGCACATACAACTGAAGCATGATGGGTCAGGAGGCTCTTCCAAACACAGCTCCCAACCCCTGCCTTCATGAACCCAAGTTAAATTATGCTTTAAAGAAATATTTAACCTTTATTTTTAAACTACTACATTTAGACAAAAAACCAAATGGTTTCATTACATACAGAGCATGTGTTTTAAGTTTAAAATATAACTTTTTCCTTAGAAAAAGACAGGAAAGTAACATGTCCCTTCTAATTTTCCCCACAGCCTGGCATGGGAAAGAAACTTTCTTTTATTTTTTTAAGGTATATTTTTATTAATTTCAGAGAGGAAGGGAGAGTGAGGGGGAGATAGAAACATCAATGGCGAGAGAGAATTATTGATCAGCTGCCTCCTGCACGCCACCTACTGGGGAATGAGCCCACAACTTGAGCCTATGCCCTGACGGGGATTTGAACCTGGTTCACAGGTCAATGATCAACCACACCCAGCCGGGCAAGAAAATTTCTTTTTAAAAGGCCAGGATATGATGGAGGGGGGTTGGGGGGATGGCAGAGGTGGAGGGAAACAGCCTGGGGGACTGGGTCTTCACGCGCCCACTTCCTTGAGTGAGGAGCAGAGGGCACAGCATCTCTGCTGGACTCAGAGCCGCCTTTGGCAGTGCCTGTCGAGTTCCCTCCAAGCACAGAGGCTGAATGTGGCACCGTCTCCATCACAGGGGCACAGAGACTGGTCTGGATGGGCTGCCCTCCTCCAGCTCACCTGGGGAGGTGGGTGCCAGCTGACTCGCTCTGTCTTGTTGACAGACAGCCTGCATGTTTAGGCTCCCTTGGCCCTTAGTTACCAAGGCCAGGCGCCTCCCCTGCTCTGGTTCTAGGTGTAATCATGTCGCCGCTCTATTTGTGTGTCAGGGATGGGGAGTCATGAGCCTGTGGATCCAGGAGCTGCCTGGGAACTGACTTCTAAGAGACAGTGACCAGAGTCAGGGTGCACGGCTGTTGTCCTGCCACACGTCTGTTCTCTCATCGGGGCAGTTAGTCCTAACCCTCCCGACCCTTGGGTTCTGCCCTTCCCAGATAAACCGGGTAGGGCTTATGCTATTTTGGCCGAGATATTAAAACTAATTATATTTTTATAGAAAAAAACACAAAATGCTGACTTTAGCCAGTTTAAATGGGCAGTAATCACAAGGTTGTGCTTAGGGGGTTTGAGAGGTGATCACTTTCCCTCCTGGGACCCCAAACTCCACTAGGGCCCAAACCAATGCCATCCTTCTGCGTATGTCTGAGATCTCCCCTCCGCCTGGCCCACTTTCAGTGGCTTCCTGCTGGCACAGAGCTGGGCTGGGACGAGGGATGCCGAGGGGCCTGGCTGCGCGGAGGAGCCCGGAGGCCGGGGAATGGGCCCTGCCGTCCAGGGGGAGGGACAAGCGCGCATGTGTGAAGGCTTCACCCCTGGGGATTGGCCTTTTAGCTCAGGTTCAAATTTGGTGACTCCTAGGCTGGTGAAACCCATTTTCATAAAGTGGGCCCACATCCGCTCTTGTCCATTCGTTTAGTTAACTGTCCTGTGCAGAGAGCTTCCGAATAACTGGCTTAGTTCTAACTGAGCTGGCTCTCCGAGGAGCTGGAGCGGAAGCATGAAACGGAGCCTCCGAAATCCCTCTCTCTTCTCTGAATAGAACCCACAGATACTGAAAAGTGTCACCAAACATTTTCGCTTCCTCGTTCCGAACACAAATCAGCTTTGGCTGCTGGCCCTTCCCTCCCTGCAGCGGCAGCATTAACAAAACAAAACAAAAAAGAGCGTTTGGTACCCAACCATCTCATCTTTGTGTGCCCTTTGAGGAGACATCCAAGGGACCACGCTCACACCTGGGAGGTAGGTAAGGCCAGGCCTTGTATGTCTTATTTGCAAAGGAAGCACCCCGGCTCTGCATTCAACATGTTCTTACGGGATACCAAGAGTCACAAACAACTGTGAAGAATCAAAATCAATTTTGTAGCCCAGGATTGGAATTTTACATCATTATGATTTTAAGTTGTTATTCTATCACAGTAATAAAAATAGGCAGCCACCGCGTTCTGCGTACTCACCATGTGCCAAGCACTGTGCTAAGTGCTGTTCACGTGTTAGCTAATAAAGCCCTCACCAGAAGCCAGGAGGCAAGGCCCATTAGCTCCGCTTTGCAAACGAGGCAGCTGAGCTTGGACAGACTGACCCATCTGCCCGCATCACTTGGTGAGCGAAGGCCAGAGCCAGGCCGCAACGCAGCTGTTGGCCCTGAGCTCACGTCCTTAACTGCTCGCGGCACCTTCCTTCCCTCTCCCCGCTGCTCCGTGGGGTGGACAGCGTCCTGCGTGGACGGATAAACACCACCAGCCTCGGAGGTAGGGTCCTGTGAACCTTGCTTCTTGCTTAAGCCTTCCTTGGGGTTTGGGTGGAAAAGAGGAGATGATAGAGTACTTGAGCCCCCATAGTAAAGATCGAGCACAAAGGTACAGCTTACGAGTAAGTAGTATTGGAAATAATGTCAGGTGAAGGGTAAGAAAGAAACGACTTGGGGGGTGATTATATTGAGAGACCTCTGTTTCACTGTTATTTTAAAGGACTCTTGGCAAAAATAGATAGAAAAGTACAATAGTCCCTTATTGAATTAAGTAATTCAACAGGAACATAGTCTATTTTTTAATGTAGAAACCAAAGAGAGTCTTAACACATATATCTTTTCAAAAAACCCCCATGAGTTCCCACCATAGACAAGGAAAAGTAAAGCCCTCCCATGGCCTACAGCCTCGTCTCACTCTGGACTGGCTAGTCCTCCAACCCTTCTTACAGCGCTCTCCCCTCTGCCACCTGGCACCACCTGTGCTGCCTCCTGCCAAGTCAGCCTCAGGGCCTTTGCACTTGCGATTTCCCCCAGATATTCAAGTGGCCTCTTGCAGTTTATTGTGTCTCTGCTATGATGCACTACATTAGCGAGACCTCCTATCACCTCCTCGTTCAAAACATCACCCTAACTCCCTTTACACACTTTCACACACACTCACCTACACTTTCACACTCACACTCATGCACATTCATGCACTCACACGTGCACACCCACACTTTCACACCCTCACACACTCATGCAGAACGATGCACTCACACATGCACACCCACACTTTCACACATTCACCCTCACACACTCATGCACATCCATGCACCCCACATGCACACTTACACTTTCACACATTCACCCTCACACACTCATACACATCCATGCACCCCACATGCACACTTACACTTTCACACATTCACCCTCACACACTCATACACATCCATGCACCCCACATGCACACTTACACTTTCACACATTCACCCTCACACACTCATGCACACGCATATAGTCGCACACAGTGCTGACACTCTGTCCTCTTTTCGGCTTTACTTTTCTTAATAAACCATAGTACCAGCTGCCATTTTACTTTGCAAGGTTTTATTGTCTATCCTCCCTCACTGAAGAGGAATCTCCATGAGACCAAGAACTTTAGCTCTGAAATCACTGCTGTATCTCAGCACCTAAAGTAGTTCCCAACACATAGTCAGGGCTCCCTGAATATCTATAGTAATAACAGCGTAATATGCTAATTAGACTAGACAGCTGAACGCCCTTCTGGATGTCCTTCTGGACATCCTTCCAGACGACCTTC